ATCTTTCTTTTAAAGGTGTGTGTGTATGTGTAAACCAGGCTGTCCTCTTAATTCGTGGATGCTGGGATTGAAGGCCTACACTACCATGTCCATCTTAATCCTTTTTTTTTTTAAAGATTTATTTATTTATCACATATACAGTGTTCTGCCTACATGCCAGAAGAGGTCACCAGACTGAATTGTAGATGGTTGTGAGCCACCATGTGGTTGCTGGGAATTGAACTCAGGACCCCTGGAAGAGCAGTCAGTGCTCTTAACCTCTGAGCCATCTCTCCAGCCCCTTAATCCTTATTTTTAATGCTAGCTGGTGTTTCTCAGTTGCCTCAAATGATAAATGATATTCCTTCTAAAATTTAACTTTCTTGAGAATACATACTTTGTCTAAAGAGAAAAGAGTCTATAGGAATGGGAAGAATACTGGTTAGCTGACACAAGCTAGATCATTTTAGAAAGGGGACCCTGGATTTAGAAAATTCCCCCACTAATCTGGCCAGGAGGGAAGCCTGTAGTACATTTTCTTGATTGGTGATTGATTCGGGAGGGCCCAGCTTACCGTGGGAGATCCCATCCTGGACAGATGATCCTGGATGGTGTTAAAAAGCAGGCTGACTTCTCCATCAGTTCCTGCTTCATTTGAGTCCCTGCCCTGACTTCCCTCAGTGATGGAGTATACTATGGAACTTTAAGAGGAAATAAAGCCTTTCCTTCCCAAGATGTTTTAACACAGCAACAGAAACTAAGACAAGTGCTATAAAGCATAGTTTTAAAATTAATTACTTAAAGTATGTTGGGCCTTTCAAAAATATACCATCACTTTAGAGAAACAATACACATCTGTAGCTCAATTTAGAACGTATGCAAGCATTTAATCAGGTTTTAGAAATTGAAAGAACAGATCTGAGTCTCAATCTTACTTCTGAGCAAAACAATTTAGTAACATAAACAAATTTTGTTTATAGGTTTTCATGTTTAGTACTATTATAAATGCCAAAAAGATACAAGCCAAAACAATTGAATATACTCAGGTTCTAATATTTTCCTTCCTTCCTCAATGATCACACTACAAACCTTCCTGTGGTATAGATAAGATTTTAAACAAAATCTAAAGCATACAGAATTATTTGTATTTTTCTAGAAACTTTTTCATACTTTGCATTCACTGTAGTTTACCATTCTGGAATGTTCCCATATAACCTCCTAAAAAAAATCCAAGAACATGATCCAACTCCTTTTAGAATCGCTTCAAGTATAAACCCTCCCGCAGCTGTAAACTATTCTACCCTCCTCCTTTTCTTCCCTCACCTGTCATCCCTACTCTCCTTCTCCCTTAACTTTAAGCCAACTTTCTCTAAATTTTTGGCTTGTGTATTCATTATATAATTATCATAATAGTCATATACAATTATTATTTTAACTGTTTCCATACCACTTGGGGACAAAGATCTGACGTTTTCATTTCTCTGCTTTTTTACCCCAGTTGGTCTTTTTGAGACAGGGTTTCTCAGTGTAGTCCTGGCTGTTCTGTAACTTGCTTTGCAGACCAGTCTGGCTTCGAACTCACAGAGATCCACCTGCCTTTGCCTCCTGGTGCTGGGATTAAAAGTGCTCACCACCGCTCTTGGCTTTGATGTTTTCAAGGACAATGCCTAACTCCACTAATTAGAGAAATATTTGTACCATCAACTAAGCTAGCCTAACACTTTCACTGTATAGATGAAGAGACTGAGATTTGCTATAATATGTTCACAGCACCTGGACTACTCGGCTGCTCTCTAACATGGCATCCTCTTTACCTACTATACCCCATCAAATGCTTGTTGGAAAGCTCAACAGTATGTGCAGCAGATCAAGGAAAATTTTTACATTTATTTATGGAGGGAGATGTATCCCCACAAGTGAAAGTCAGAGGACAACTTCAGGGATCAGTTCCCTCCCTCCCTCTACCACATGAGTTCCAGGGGTCAAATTCAGGTTCTCAGGCAGCAGCAGCCTGAGCCTTTCTGCCATCTTCATCTATGCAGCAACTTTAAAGTCATAATAGTTAACTAGGTATCTGAGAAATACACACCATAAGACGAATGAAAACAAGTACTACATGATACTGGCTTTAATTACTAACATAGTATACATCGCTTTGAGATATTCAGTCATCTTTTTTCTGAAAAAATCATAACCACACACAGTCTGCAGAATACTGTTCTAGAACACATTTATATATCTAACTTATATTCCAAGCAGCTGTAGCTTTCATCAAGTTCTGCCCACTCAAAACACTTACTCAGTTATGATTCAGATTTTAAGCTAATATATTGTAAATTTTTTTAGTATCCACAAATATTGTCTAACACTTGCAAAATATTTACATACATCAAATACTGGTACAAAAACATGACAGACTCAATTTTTTATCTATTTGAGATTATCATTTTAGTTTTGCTACTAAAATGTAAGACTTTTATATCTTTTGGCTAATAAATCAAGATATATATATATTTAATAACTTGACAACATTGTAAGTTTCATTTCTAAGAGTAGACACTATTAGATCACATGGGAATATTTCTGAGCACAAAACACTGGGCATAACGATATTTTAAAATTTTTATACAAAGGAGGAAAATATTTGTCATTTGGAAGACAAAGATTTGTTATGTACACAGTAATTTTGAAAATATCTACAGTTTAGCTATATCTATATGCTACTTTCTAGAACTTCCATGCAGCTACCTATCTCATCTATATGTCTGTTTCTCCATCTGTAAAACTAGATAAACTACAAGAACTCTACTGTTCCTTCTGTGTTTAAAATCCTGTGACATCAGTTTGGGGTACAACTAGCTATTTAAAAATAATGACCCGTGGGACTGGAGAGATGGCTCAGATGGTTAAGAGAACATCCTGCCTTCCCAGAGGACCAGATTTGATTCCTAGCACTCACTCAGGTGGCTCTCAAACCTCCTGTAACCTGAGCTCCAGTGGATCTGACAAACTCTTCTGGCCTCCAAGGGCAACTGCACTCACACACATGCACACACATGTTAAAAATAGTCTTTTTTAAAAAAAAACTTTTTAAAATGATGGCGTGCGAATGGGCTGTTCTTTTAAGATGTTCTACATCTGCCCCAAAACACTATAAAGATGAGTAACAAACACAGTAATATAAATCACCAAATAAAATAATCTACAAAACTAATTTGTAAATAGTTAATGTTACCAACTAATTCTACTTTACCGACAAATGCAAAAACTTTAAAGAGAATTTGCCTTCTAATGAGTTAAGCATTCCCTATTTTAGTGTAATTAGTCAGCAATAGATGTGAAAATAGTAAATGAGCATCCAAAGACAAAAGAAGGATACATTATTTTACATATATACAATGCCCAGGTTCAGATTTTAGATAATATTCATTTCCTTGCACTACTGTGATTAGTACACTGAGTTATATGATCAACAGTATAGACTTCATTTTAAAAAACTTAGTCCTCGCCGGGCGGTGGTGGCGCACGCCTTTAATCCCAGCACTCGGGAGGCAGAGGCAGGCGGATCTCTGTGAGTTTGAGGCCAGGCTGGACCGACAGCCTTCAAAACAATAAAGAGTTAACCCTGTCTTGTAAAAAAACCAAAAAAAAAAAAACCCTAAAAATTTAGTCCTCACAGCAATTTTCTGAAGATGATATTGTCCTCACTCCTCTTTATAGGCAAGGAAACAGGCCAAAAAAACCAGTCAGTCAAGTTCATTCAACTAATAAATAGTCAAACTCCTATTCCAGGGGCTGGAGACATAGCTCAGCAATTAGCAGCCCTTAATGCCCAATCAAGAGGACTCAAGTTCAGATCCCATTACCAAGGAGCAAGCCCATAACCCCAGCTCCAAAGGAGATGAAGACAGGAGACTAGCTGGAGCTTGCTGGCTTCCGACCTATAGGAAAACGCAAGCCTGACGTTTATGGAGGGGCCATGCCTCAAAGCATAGGGTGGAGAGTGACAGCAGATACCAGACACTCTCTGTGACTTCCACTTCCTGAGCATGTGCCCACACATGCAAGTGTGCAGACGCACGCTCTCTCTCACACACAAAATAAAAAATGTTGGTAATAAATTAGTTCACCTTCACTAACACATTCCTAATATTTAAAAATGTCTCTATTACTGAAATTTTTTAATTAGCCGGGCTCATGTCCACTACATAGCAATTATTGTATAAAGTACCTTAGTTTTAGTATCCTATGTTAACTTTTCTCTTCATAAAAGGGCAGGAGTATACAGATGGTGTAAACCAAAAGCATGGCACAATTTGAATTACCTATAACCTCTAGTAGAATAAAAAAATTTCTAAGGCTGGGTGCTTAACTCCGTGGTAGAGTGCTGGTCTGGTATGTTTGAAACCCTCTGTTCTCCCTAGCACCGAAAGAAGAAAAGACACAGACAGATAGACACACACATTCATGCAAGTCTAAACTTATGAAAGACGTTGTGTTCATGCATTCATTTCGTGTCACTGAAAATAATTTAACTTTCTCAGATGAAACGGAAACATTTAGTAACACTAAATTTCCAATGGCTGAAACTGACAGTGGAAAATAAAATTTAACCATCTTTCTACACGAGTCAAATTTATTTTTCTAAAGGTATTTCGCCCTACATGCTGTTTAAAATGCTATGTTAAAACTATATACGAGTGGTGGGTTCAACTTCCATCCTACAAAAGGCTTTTCCTCTCTCTACTCGTGTAGCTCTTACATCTGGAACCTATCTACCTGGTCCCGAGAGTTTGGTTCCCTTCTTGGCTTCTCGGTGGATGCACTCACCCTACGGGCCATGCCCACCACACCCCTCCAGTCCCGCGCCCTGCGCTGCTCCTCCTCCTCCCGAGGTGCCAGCACCAACTCAGCACCTATCAGCGCCGCCCCCCAGGCCCTGGCCCAGCCCCTCCTCGGACACGTGTGCGAGTGTGTTTGTGTCTGTCTGTCAGTCCCACGAGGGGACCCGGCTCGCTTACCTAGAGAGAAGCGCCAACTTCTGCTCCAGCAGCATCTCTAGTTTCTGGCCCTGTTTGGAGATCCAGTGGTCGACTCCATGCAGGCGGTAGCACATCTCCAGCATCAACCTGAAGTCCGCCACAAACTCGGTGATGCCCCTGTACTGGCCGCGGGAGAACTTCTCCTCCATCTTCAACAGACACATGCCCTGGCCAGGCTGCTGCGGGACGACGCGACTGCCCCGGCCCCCGCTGCGCCGCCCTTCGGCTACCTCTTCTTCCCCGGCGGCAACGCCCCCCAAGGGCTGCAGGAAAGGGGCGGTGAGGCCGCGGTGCTTCTCCTGCAGGAACTCGCCCAGGATGCGGTAGCCCTGCTGCAGCTCGTAGGTCAGGTCCTGCTCCTTGCAGCCACCGCCTGCGACCACCGTCGCCTCCGCCACCTCTTCCTCCTCGTCGTCCAACGAGGAGGCACTCCTCCTGCGGTCCAGCCCCGAGGCCCGGGCCGCCGCCGCCTCCTCCTCGTTCCCGTCCCCGGCCGTCGGTGGCGGCCGCTCCTCCTCCGCGGCCCGCTCCATCTCCCCCGGCGTCTCCGGCACGCTCATGTCCCCCGGCAGGCCCAGGCTGGGCTGAGAGGAGCGACCGCTCGAGGCGCCGGGAGACGCGCGAGCGCGGGCCGCTTCCTTAGGGCTCCGAGGCGCCGCGCAGCCCCTGCCGCATCGGGCCTCGCTCTCCAGCCGCCGGCCGGGACCCGCGCGCGCGGGGGTCTCAGGCTCGCGCCCGCGGGGCGGGGTTACATGGCGCGCGGGGGAGGGGGGAGAGGAGAGCCTAGGTGTCCTCCTCTCCCCTCCCCGCGGCGGCGCGAGGCCCGCGCCGGCTTCACCCTCCGCACCCCGCCCGCCCGCTCGCCCGCTCACCGGCCCGGCCGGCGGGGCCTCGGCGCCCCACCCCCTCCCGGGCCGACGGGGCGCAGGGAGGGGGCGAGGAGGAGTGAGAGGGCTCTCCTCCTTCCCGAGTGGGCCGCAGCACCGGGCCGCCGCGGCTCCGGCTCCTCCTCTCCCTCACACCCCCTCCCGCCCCTGTCTACCTGCGGGGGACCTGGGCAGGAGGAGGCGGCGCACGGACCGGGCCCGGCGACAACTGTCAGTTAGAAGCCCCGCTGGGCGGGGGGGGGGCGAGGGGAGGGGCAGGGAGGGAAGGGGGAGGGCACTCAGCCCCCCCGGCCGGGGAGAGCTGGGTAGGGAGGCAAAGAAAGAAGCGCCGTCGCCATTCCCGGCGCGCGTGCGTAGTGGCACAAAGTGGCCCCGCCCCCTTTCATCCCGCCCTGCGACGCCAGAGCCAGGACTTGGCTCCACCACCGGCTCGGAGGCGGAGCGTGGGGGCGGGCCGATGATGTCATCAGTATGCGGACTTCTGTGAGGGGTGGGGTGGAGGGGGAGGCAGAGCGCCTGCGCGGTGCACACTCTCAGGAAGGGTTTAAGATTGCTTTCTTGAGACCCTTAGAGATCTTAAAAATTTTAATATTAGTTTTCTCAAAGCATTCACTAGTTAACCCTTATTAAGGACAAGTGAATAACGAGAAAGCACAGCAGCAAATCCTCTCCGTTGTAAAACAGCATCTTTGCACCCCTCCTCCCTTGTGCCTACCGGTCTTTTTTCATAAACCTAACGTTTAGGAAAGGATGGAAAGGAAGTTTAAGGACTTCACAAAAGAAGAGTGGAGGATTGTAGAACTCTAGTTCTCGACACTCCAGATCCCAGTTAACAGTTTTTAAACCCGAATCCTGTGTTCTCTTGAAATTTTAAAACCGAAAAACACCTGGATTCTTGAGTTCGGCTAACAAGAGAATGCAATCTCGCTAAAAAAAGAAGAAAGAAAAAAGAAAAAAAAAGCTCCACATATTTCTACTCTAAGCTGTACAGCTTGTCATTGGTGTGACTTTAGCAATCTTGCTACATATTTTTTAAAGTGACTAAAAAAGTGGACTCACAGTTCACATGATGCATAAAATAAGGGGGAATTAATAAGCCCCAAAACAGTTATTACTGTTTTCTAATGCGTATGATATTCAGACTTACTTGTTTGAAACTTGGAATAATACATAAAATCAAAACTATAGGAGTGCAATTTGAACATGAAATGTATAAATTGCTGAGATCTCACCTTCAAGATTGTTTACTTCTGCATAAAGACTTTTAAAGGACTGATAAAATGTAATGACTTAAAACTTTTTTGTAGGGGGTTCAGAAAGTTAAAAGTCACTTGTAGGAAAAATGGTGAAACAAGAGCATGAGTTTTTGGAGTGGTTACACTCTCCTTCACACATGAATGGACTCATCTGGCATTTTTGGTTTCCTCTCTGTCAGATATACTTTAGCTCATGAGGGAAAAAGGTAGGGACCAGTTCTGCTTCAGCAACTGGCAAATATGTCTGGTGGGGCTTCTTTCATTTCCTTTGACAAAACTCAAGCATCTAAACCCGACCAAACTCAAGCAAATGCTCACTCCCTTTTAACCACCAGACCTATCTCAAAATTGTCACACAATAGCTTCCATTTACTGACCCTTCTGCTGCTAAGCACTTTATATTCATCGTCTCCTTTGATTCATACAACAATAGCATAGGCCACGTATTATCCTCATCTTGCAGGTAGGGAAACAAATACTTAGGAAAATCAAGGTTCAAATTTAAAGACTCTCTTACTTAAAAACTCCCAAGTACCCAATCACAAATCATTTGCCAGTTTTACAAGACTGTATGAACTGCAAACAACACACTGATGAAAGATTTCTTAAGTCACACAGAGAAAGAGCTACAGGTAAGTAGAAGAAACCTTAACTCTAGTTCATGAAGAGGTCAAGATGATAGTAAATCAGGTCCTTGAACTTTACAAAAAAAACCCCCACTTTATTATATAAGAAATCTGCTGTTTGTATGTAATTTTAATTTATAGACAAGAAGAAAAGTTGCCATTTAATCCCACAATCCAGAGAAAACTATTAAACTTCAAGGTATATATTCCAAATACACCTGTAACCATACTATATATCAAATTCTGAACTATCTTAAATTCTAACTTTATATCCCTGTCTACAGTAGTCTAGATAGACCTACTGGGGAGGAATGCCATGTAAACCAAATTCTAAAGAACACAGTAGAAGAACAACCAACAGTAGTAACACTGGCAGTTTATTGGGCACTTACTGGGTCTGACATGTTTGCTCCGTTACACACATCATCCACAACAGACACAGGAAATCACAACAGACATCCTTGTTTGCAAGTGTTGAATGAAGTTTTGTTAAGTAGAAACTTTTTTCTACTCTACAAAACACCTTCAACAGTAAAGACATTTCAATTGATATAATTAACCCTAAATTCAGAGTTGTTTTGTAAAACAATACACTGATAAATGACTACTCGTAAAGCTCATTTTTTAAATGTTTAAAGATGAAATTAAGTGTGTTTCACTGTCTTCACAGAATCTGTTAGAAACTGCTTCAAAACAGAAATCTATTTATCCCCCATTCTGAACAAAGGTTTCCTTTCTTGTTTGGTGTGGGGAAAGGGGGGGGGGTCTTACATATAAACACAAAGTAAAACTCTGCTAAAACATGTAATAACAACTGACTCCCACAAGCATTAACTGTTATTGATTAAGCTCTGTTAAAGTCTGTCACATGCTTTCAGGGTTAGATGAATCAGCACTTCCTCCTCCACACCATTTCAATTCTAGTTAATTTTTTAAGACCAATTTAGTTAAACTCTTGTACCTCTCAACTAGACACCTTGGAAACTGGAATTTAGTCATGCTCCAACCCCTTCACAGAAGTTCTACATGAACAGGTTCATTTATATTATAGAAAAAAAACCCTCCTACATCCACTGCAGTACCTCAAAACTTTTTCAGTTCTAGCATCCTTCAGTACCATAGAAGCATTACCAAGGAAGAGTAAGTCTGCCAATATACTCCACCCTCGATTCCAAAGATGCTTATCCTGGGAGTTTCCCTTTCTGTCTGAGCTCGTTACCTCTTGTGGTAGTCACAGACATCTTGGCACCACGTATACCGTTTACCTAGCGTCCATGGTTCAGACAAATAGCAATGATTTGTACCTTTCACACTAAATCGGGGAAGGTGACAAGTAACTCTTAAGACAACTGGAACCACAAGTGACCACCACAGTTTCTTTAAGAGATGACACATGCAAAATAAACAGAAGACCTTAACACTAATCCTGGAGAAACACGGAAGTACGAACTGCTTAGCAGAAAGAAGTGGTATCTCTCATTTGTAATAGATCCACTCACAACACTTTGTAGCTATTTTTATGATAGTGACAGTAAAGTGCTTCAAGCAAAATTGAGTAATTCTTGTAACGCTTCCTGCTGGTCTTCATCAAGTTGGGATATACATTGCAACCATAATTCTTCAGAAGTCTGTATCTGTCGAACAACGTTAGCTAGGCGTTTGGCACAGGGGTCTTCATGGCTAATAGTCTCGTTAATTTTTCCTTCTGCAATTATACTGATGATTTTGGGAAGATTGGAATTATTGGGACCGATCACAACTGGGTGGTTACTTTCAATTAGGTCACAGAGGAAATTCAAAGTCTGAATAGCTTCTTCTTTATCTTCATGCAGCGGAAGCCATGACAGCCAGTGTGGGAGAACTTCATCTACATTTACACAGTTGGGCTTGAACTTCATAATCTTCCCTATTGCTGAGATACAGTTCTCTGTAGCAATGACATTTTTTTTCGTTTTGGAATTTGCACACTTAATAACCTTTACCAACAGTGGAACGGCTTCTGAACATAAAGAACGATAATCGTCTCCACCAAACTGTGCCATAACACCCAGTCCATAAGCAGCAGCTTGCCTGACTTCGGGGTTGTTATCTCGCATATTGAGTAGCATCGGCCACCGGAAATACTCAACATATTTGAATGAGGTTGGGCTACAGTGCTCTATGATATCATCAAATATGCACAATCCCCACTGTCGGTCTGGCCATGGTCTACTTGAACAAATTAGATTCACAATTAAAGGAAGTAGCTGTTCAAACCATGGCAAAATCTTCTCCTTGTAAGTGCTAAATAATGAGTGCAAAATATCTGATACTTTGGTCAGAATATAAACATCACACTCATCTTCATCTTGAAGAGACATTTCTACCTGTTGATCATAATTTTCTTCCTGCCTTTTTACTTGCCGCAACTCTTGGTTTTTAAAGTGCCCTTCAAGCTTTGACTTTAAAATTCCTCCCAGTTCTTCCAAGTGTTCATCATTAAGACAACCATCTCCCATCACCTCAATGGACTTTGCAAAAGAATTCATTATCTCTGAGAGTACATCTGTGTCAGGTTCAGTTCCAATAGCCTTGATTAAGGGATCACATATATACTGCCACATCTGTGAAAGATACTCCGAGCCACGGATACTTGCACATTCCAAGAGATAGGGCATGGCTTCTGCAGCTGCCACTCGAACATTGTCATGAAAATAAAATTTCAACAAAGGAACCATCAGCTTCACAACTTGTTCTGTATAGCCCACAAATCCTTCTCTTAACTCCTTAGCATAGTAAACCAACATCTGGCAAGCAGTTGCTTTTGCTTCAAGTCCTGAAGTTTTAATTCCAAAGCTTTGCTGGTCTCCAAGATTGACAAATTGCCAGCCATCGTCATCACTCATGTTCTCCACATCTTGTGTGTCTAAGAGAGCAACATCAGGTTTAGCTGAAGCAGTCTTAATAAGAGGCTCAATAACCAGCGGGAGATACTGCTGAAAGTCTTCTCCGAGAATTTTACACATTCTAGCCCACGCTGAAACCATGTAAGAAGTCTGAGGGTCATCATCTTCCATAGTGTTTAGGTCTGATT